ACACAATCACCATTGTTATGATGACAATGATTATCACAGTGGTTATGGTGACACTGATTATCACAGTGGTTGTGAATACAATCATTATCACAATTGTTATGATGACAATGATTATCACAACGGTTATGATAACTGATTATCACAACGGTTATGATGACAATGATTATCACAATGGTAATGATGACAATGATAATCACAGTGGTTATGATGACAATGATTATCACAAAGGTTATGATGACAGTGATTATCACAATGGCTATGATGACAGTGATTATCACAGTGGTTATGATGACAATGATTATCACAATGGTTATGATGACAATGATTTCCACAATGGTTATGATGACAATGATTATCACAGTGGTTATGATGACAATGATTATCACAATGGTTCTGAAGACAATGATTATCACAATGGTTATGATGACAATGATTATCACAGTGGTTATGATGACAATGATTATCACAACGGTCATGATGACACTGATTATCACAATGGTCATGATGACACTGATTATCACAGTGGTTATGATGACAATGGTTATCACAACGGTTATGATGACAATGATTATCACAATGGTTTTGATGACACTGATTATAACAGTGGTTATGATGACAATGATTATCACAGTGGTTGTGATGACAATGATTATCACAATGGTAATGATGACAATGATTATCACAGTGGTTATGATGACAATGATTATCAAAATGGTTATAATGACAATGATTATCACAACGGTTATGATGACAATGATTATCACAATGGTTATGATGACAATGATTATCACAATGGTTATGATGACAATGATTATCACAGTGGTTTGGATGACAATGATTATCACAATGTTCTGAAGACAATGATTATCACAATGGTTATGATGACACTGATTATCACAGTGGTTATGGTGACAATGATTATCACAGTGGTTGTGAATACAATCAGTATCACAATTGTAATGATGACAATGATTATCACAACGGTTATGATGACAATGATTATCACAACGGTTATGATGACAATGATTATCACAATGGTAATGATGACAGTGATTATCACAACGGTTATGATGACAGTGATTATCACAATGGTTATGATGACAATGATTATCACAATCGTAATGATGACGATGATTATCACAATGGCTATGATGACAATGATTATCACAATGGTTATGATGACATTGATTATCACAATGGTTATGATCACAATGATTATCACAATTGTTATGATGACAATGATTATCACAATGGCTATGATGACAGTGATTATCACAATGGTTATGATGACAGTGATTATCACAATGGTAATGGTGACATGATTATCACAGTGGTTATGATGACTATGATCATCACAATGGTTATGATGACAATGATTATCACAATGGTTATGATGACAATGATTATCACAATGGTTATGATGACAGTGATTATCCCAATGGTTATGATGACAATGATTATCACAATGGTAATGATGACAATGATTATCACAATGGCTATGATGACAATGATTATCAGAATGGTTATGATGACAATGATTATTCCAATGGTTATGATGACAATGATTATCACAGTGGTTATGATGACAATGATTATCACAGTGGCTATGATGACGATGATTATCACAATGGTTATGATGACAATGATTATCACAATGGTTACGATGACAATGATTATCACAATGGTAATGATGACAATGATTATCACAATGGTTATGATGACAATGATTATCACAGTGGTTATGATGACAATGATTATCACAATGGTTCTGAAGTCAATGATTATCACAGTGGTTATGATGACAATGATTATCACAGTGGTTATGATGACAATGATTATCACAATGGTTCTGAAGACAATGATCATCACAATGGTCATGATGACAATGATCATCACAATGGTTTTTATGACAATGATTATCCCAATGGTTATGATGACAATGATTATCCCAGTGGCTATGATGACAATGATTATCCCAATGGCTATGATGACAATGATTATCACAATGGTTATGATGACAATGATTATCCCAATGGCTATGATGACAATGATTATCACAATGGCTATGATGACAATGATTATCACAATGGTTATGACAATGATTATCCCAATGGCTATGATGACAATGATTATCACAATGGCTATGATGACAATGATTATCACAATGGCTATCATGACAATGATTATCATAATGTCTATGATGACAATGATTATCCCAGTGGTTATCATGACAATGATTATCATAATGTCTATGATGACAATGATTATCACAATGGCTATCATGACAATGATTATCATAATGTCTATGATGACAATGATTATCGCAGTGGTTATAATAACATTGATTATCACAATGGTTATGATGACAATGATTATCACAATGGCTATGATGACAATGATTATCACAATGGTTATAATGACAATTATTACCATAATGATTGCTTAAACAGGTGTTATCATATATAGTGTGAGAAGTGTCTTGTTGCCTATGTCCACGACACCTTAATCACTGCCTACCTACTATCCTCACTCGCATCGTGATATCGGAGTCCTACATGCTATCGCTGACTTGCACTGGCTGTGTTTAAGATATCACCCAGATTCTGCGTCGTGCCATGCATACAGATAAACATCTCTGACTGTTTTGTCATTCTTCTCGTCACGTGACACTTGCGCAGTTCCAGAGCACTGAGAATCACCTACTGCGCAACCACGATGGGATGGAAAGAACTGTACATGGTAAAGAAAAATGTATTAAGTGGGTTCGTTTTGTCATGGCCTCGCTGGTAATAATAGGTAATAGTACGAATCATGAGGTTAATGAGGTCACACACACAAACATAGAAGTCTTTGTGTCAGATAAACAAGTGGTTGACAAAAGCAAAGATGGCCGCCGTCGGGGCAAAACGGTACGCAATCAGCTGAACCTGAAACCAGCTGTGTGTGCGTGCGTGTGTGTGTGAGTGACTTTGTAAGCTGTGATGACTGGGTCAGATAAAATGAAGCGCACGAAAAGTCAGCTAATGTTATATAACACGGATCAGAATTGTAATAAAGGCTAAGAAAACGAGAATAAAGGGTTCAAGTTGGGGCTTCAGAGGAGGGCCTCGCAGGCAAATCGGAAACCTAGTTACACATTGTGTTGGTCCCACATACAATATATGGATTCACTTTTTACCAAATTAATGCAAATTTAGTATTTTTCTCCTATGATGTTAAAGCATTTTCGTAGTATTAGAGGACGTTAGCTGCGGGTTTCGCAACTCAAGACGTTTCATGTTACACCATAGGACATACCACATCTCAATTACCTGCATCCGTCCTTCAAACCTCCTTGTTTAACTGACAAGAAGGTAGATTGGTTTTCACAAACCAAGGTTCGTTTTCTGGTCTCAGATACTTAACGAGACTTCCACTGTGGATAATGATGCAGAAATGAAATTTAATGTACATTTTTGCGACAAGCTCGTGATTTTAGTATAGCAACATTTACCTGAAGTTTTAATTTGACTATGTATGCTTTTGTACTTTCTAATACCCTCTCGGGAAAGAAGCGGGGGTATTTGTCAAGGATTCCAAAATAAGGGCACCTGGCAAGCAAATTTGGAAACAATCATTACTTTGTAACATATGTTATGATTGGGATTTTGCTTTCTCAGTACATGTTGTAGTACTTCTGGGGTTGAGTATCCGGGGATCGAACCCACATTTCAGAGTGATACACTTAATCGCCAGCACACAAACTCAGCGAAGAACCCACCTAGCCAACGTGACATACAAAATGTATTACTATTTTCAAAGGAAAAGGGGGGGGGGGTATGCTTCCCCATTTCTTACAATTCAGAGGTCTTTTAACACTGCATATGGACAATTAGCAATTTCCTTCTTTACTGGCCCAGTTATTATGCGGTGATGTGTGGTCAAGTTGCCTAGAGCCCAGGTCACAGATCAGTTAAAGTAAACTAACGTTGGTCACGGAGAGTCCGTGGGTGGTTGAGCGTGTTTGGCAGCTTGACTCCTGAGAGTTTCTTTCAATCCTGCCCCACAACGAATCACACTTGACACATATGGTCTCACCACACGCAAGTGAGTTTTGTCAAAAAATTACCTCTGTTCACCCAGCAGGGAATGGGTACCCGGTGGGATAAGTCACATGAGTGGTAACCTGGCGCCTCAGAATCAGTTTAGGTTAACTTGGGAGTCACGGGTGCGTGAATACAGTGGCTTTATAAATAACCATTATTATATTATTATTATCGATGACATACATAGCACCTCTACAAAGAGACCACATTTGTTATAACTATACGCTATAAATGTACATGACATAACGTCTTTTGATTGACACGGGGGCCGAATACCGGAATGTAAGCAAGTGTACAGAAAGCAGTGTGAAATGAGTGAGTAATGTCTTGTGACACTTTCAACAATATTCCAACAATATCACAGAGAAAATTCACTCTCCATGTTTTTCGCTTGAGGCTGGCACTATTTGTTTTCTTAACTCTCTCACACACACACACACACACACTCTCTCTCTCTCTCTCTCTCTCTCTCTCTCACACACACACACGCACCTCAGCTCTGAAAATAATTGATTATCATGTAATTCACATCTATCTCCTAAACTGCCGACAAACACACACACACTATATACATATACTCAGCTCCGATAATTATTGATAATCATACCGTCTAAGTCACATCCATCACCAGCAACATCCCAGAACTGGGCTTACCACAGTGTACCCATACGGAGAAATGAACCCGGGTTTTCGGCGTGACGAGCGAGCACTCTAACCACTACCCCACCGCCCCTCCATTATCCAGAAAGATAAAAAGACTGAAAATTCAACGTTTGTGAATGTCACTCCTACTGTCAAACTGGCAACAGGAAGCCCCAATAGAATAGGTTACAGTCCATCCCAGCTTGGTGAGACTATACCGACAGTCCCAGTCAATCAGCAATTTGTTTACATAGGACACAGCCTGGCGTCACCCTGTTTTGGGCGCACTACGTACCTATTCGCAACGGTTCGGCGACCTGGGCACGAAATAAGCAGGACAGGCCCGCTTATCACATGCTCCAGAATCTATCCCTGAGCACATTCACTTGTGTTTACATCACCGAGCAAGTACGACCCCAAGCTCCGGAGCGAACCACCGCCTTACCAACTATCGGATATTTTTACTTGTGGGAGTCAATCGAATAGACGGCCATGGTGACCATCGGCTCACCGGTCAAGCTGACCAACAAGTTTTCGTCCATGTTACACTCGGCCGTCCACCACCATCATCACCATAAGGATAAAGGTAACACGAAGCTTTGTGTGAATTTTGTTTAGGTACGTTTTGAGAAACAACAGCTTGAAAACTGGGACGTGCATGTTTTGAAAATACTTTCACTATGTGCACTTTGGACGCAACCTGATTTGGTAGGCTGAGTGTTGCTTACGGTTTGATGTGCAAGTGTGGTAATTTCTGTGTAACTGTCGAACCAAGACAGTTATTGATCAAAAGAAGTTAAGGGCCACCTAATTCTTTTCATGTTATCATTGTTGATCAGATATGATATGACACTTCAACTATAGTGATATGAAACACTAGTGAAGAATCAGGTGGTCCTTTTCTTTGTTTAGATAGTATACGTCATGGCAGTTAACGTTAGTATGACAGACTTGGTGGCCCTTAACTTATTTTGAGTGGTATAATTTATTGCGTTTGTACAGTTGACTGACAATCGTTACTAACCATAATCAACTAACACATTCAACCTTATAGTTGATATTAAATTGGTTAACGACAATATCTCGTTTTCAAAGTTAAGATATAAGCATATATATAATCCGATATTTTAATTCGTATAGTGATTTAACGTGGGTGTATTCTTCCAGTTGCTTGGGCGGTGGGGTAGCCTAATGGTTACATCGTTCTCTCGCCACGCTGAAGACCCGGGTTCAATTTCCCTACATGGGTATAATGCGTGAAGCCCATTTCTGGTGTCCCCGGCCGTGATATTGCTGGAATATTGCTAAAAGGGTGTAAAACTAAACTCACTCACTCACTTTCCGTTGCAACTTACGTTGTAGCTCTATGGCTCTATGGTTTCATTCAATTCATGCAAAGCGGAAACGCCAGAAGCACTGTTATATTAAGATACCGAATCGAAACACATATATCGGAAGTAAGGAGTGGTTGAGGTAGCTCAGTGGTTAATGTGTTCAGGTTCGAACTTCACGCTCCATCGCCCACCGCCAACCCACCCACCTTCCGTAATCTGGCGCTCAAAGTCGCCAAGTGTAAGTGGCTCGAAAAATGTTTCATAACCTATACCCTTACTCATAAAATATGTTAGGATTAACTAGGGATAGGCACATCAGTCAGATTCTCAAACATTCGTGGTCAAGATGTGGTCAGTCTCAGGTCAGTCTCAGGTCATTGCTGAGGTCAGGGGGCGTGAAGGTCAGGTGTGATGTGACAGAGAAAGATGGTGGGCGTGGCGCGCGTACCGCGTCTTGGCGTAGTGAGATGATCCTCGATCAATGGGATTTCCTACTAGATATGCAGGAAGATACGATGAAAGACTGCTAGAAAAAATTAAAACAATTGTCACTTATTCTCATTTATTTTTTGTTTAAACATATGTACTTTCTTGTACCTTTGCTTGATATACATGGAAGGCTTTTCGCTGGGCTGACGTTCGTGGATGTGAATCTTATATCATGATATTTGACACCATGCATGTGCTCGTGGGTTTCAATTAAAATGTCGAGGGATTCTATATTAGGTGGGCCTGTCCTCCCACATTGCACTCACTAACTCAATACACTCGTTCGCTCGTCACGCCGTGGACTCGGGTTCGATTCCCCACATGGGCACGATGTGTGAAATCCATTTCTGGTGTCCCCCGCCGTGATATTGCTGGAATATTGCTAAAAAAGGCGTAAAACTAAACTCACTCACTGAAGGCACGCCAGGTATAACATCACTCACAAAACTAAGTTGGGACGGTGGGAAAGCCTAGTGGTGAAAGCGTTTGCTGTTTGAAAGCCTCGATAACCTGTCAACGTTCCTCGCCTTTGGTATATATGTATCCAGTTAATATTGACTTTGTATGTACAAACATTATACAACAAATTCACTTCACATTTGCCTTCACTGGAGCCTTGATATAGGATGATTACTTTACTGTCACCTGTATCAACTGAGCAGGGCATACGTTACTTTGATGTGTAATTCGTGTATTTACCGTTTAGCTGTAGAAACACTTGTTCGACACCGACCCTGACAAAGATAACACGGCAGTATTTCAAACTGAAATCTGCCATGTCAGAGATTGGGAGACCCATCTGTGCAAACCTTCCCAGGCATATAGCGATCACCAACAACGACGGTTGTAAATGTACGTCAAACGTGGTAGTCGTTGCAGTGATATTGCTGGTTTCGAAGAGTGAGTGAGTAAGTTTAATTTTACGCCGCTTTTAGCGATATTACATTCCAGCAATATCACAGCGGGGGACACCAGAAATGAGCTTCACACAGTATACCCATGTGGGGAATCGAACCCGGGTCTTCGGCGTGACGAGCGAACGCTTTAACCACAAGGCTACCCCAGCGCCCCCGGTTTCGAAGTGGTTGTGGTGTATTTTGCAGAGCCCTGATGTATTCAATCTTTAGGAATTACCGCCCGAAGAGATCCCAATAACCTAATGCGCGTCGTGGGAACCCAACTAAAATGTGGATTGGGTGGTCAGGCTCTGCGTCATGTAATTTCGTATGATCATTCCGTTGACATTGATCGCTGCTCATGCTCTCAGTCAGCGGTTTGCGTGACTCGGAGTCGATCATATACAGACCGCCGCCATATAGCTGGACTATTGCTGAGTGCGGCGTAAAACTAAACTCACTACAAGCCTTTGCGACATGGATGAAATATTTTGTGTGGCATTAAACGACATCCACTAAAATGTTTTCGGTCGACTGGGGTGTGTAACGCGTACAATACACATGAATCGGTGGGGTAGCCTAATGGTTAAGGCGTTCGCTGGTCACGCCGAACATCCGGGTTCGATTTCCACACATCGATACAATGTGTAAAGCCAATTCTCTTTTCCCCGAGATATTGCTGGAATATTGGTTGCTAAAAGGGACGTAAAACCATACTCATTCGGCACACTTACTTCTCGCGTAACACTGGTTGTAAATCTGAAATATTAACCTTTATCACATACCTCACATATCAGTGATATAGTGATGATGATAATCATGATATCATAATCAATGATACGAGTCATTTTTAATGTACGATAAAGCCAACACAGAGACCGCCATATCACAGATGGTGTTACAAACTCACTCACCCACAATACACCTGCGGACACAAGTGGGTTTCATAAGTATGTTTCATAAAACTAGGGGCACCGTCGTAACTCAAGATCATTGTGCAGAGTTGTGTCCCTTAGGCGTGTATGGAACCTGTTCTCCTGGGTTCGAATTCCGGTTTGTCACGATTATGTGTCTTGGTTTTATCGCATCATGCCCGTACTCGTCGTAATCGTCGAAGTGGTTAGCGTCAAAGATGTGCATTACTTCGGGATCTCCTCCCTCGCGACGTTGACACGCTAAACTTGAGTGAGTGAGTGAGTTTGGTTTTACGCCGCTTTTAGCAATTTCCAGCAATATCACGGCGGGGGACACCAGAAATGGGCTTCACACATTGTACCCATGTGGGGAATCGAACTCGGGTCTTCGGCGTGACGAGCGAACGCTTAACCATTAGGCTACCCCACCGCCCCTCGCTGAACTTGAACATTGTACAAAGTGCGTTAAACAGAACTCACCCACTTGTAAACTGATTCCCGGCACCTTTTGCGCGTCGTCAGCTTACACTCATATTGCGATATGAGAGACGGAACCCAGCTGAACTCGTTCCCTCTCCCTTTTAAGCGCACACACAAATGATCTGTGTGAATCCGGCGCAAAGCGACATTTAACCAAAACTAACCAGCTCACCCTATCTGTTGTACACTTCAGATATTATTAGGTGAACGGCGGCATGCTTGTCGTGCCGTCATCATTTCTGATAAAGGCGGATTTACTAGATGTGTTCTTGTGGGACATTGCGCATTCTGTTTACATGCCAGGTCTAAGACATCACATAGGGCGTCATCACTATTCTTTGTGCATGGAATGCGTTCAGGCAATTAAATGCAGCGCAGTGAACTTCGTGCCCTACGCTAAATAAAGCGATCCCACAGCTAATTATACCTATTTGCCTGAGCATGACGACCTTCAGGAGTGGTATAGATGCGTCATTTAAAAGATACTTGATGAGTGAATAACTTGATGTACGGTTTATTATTATGTTAGAAGGGGCGGTGGGGTAGCCTAGTGGTTAAAACGTTCGCTAGTCACGCCGAAGAACCGGGTTCGATTCCCCACATGGTTACAATATGTAAAGTCCGTTTCTGGTGTCCTCCGCTGTGATATTGCTGGAATATGGCTAAAAGTGGCATAAAACTAACTCACTATTATGCTAGCTGGATGGCCCGTGGTTAATTGTTAGAGCGTCTGTTGAAATACGTACGTCATGTACACAAGGACTGGTCGGCTCAGAGTCAGTATATTGTGTCGAGGTGGAGTATCCATGCTTAACTGCGGAGAGGTTATCTATGAGGGCAAGCACTAAAACGATAGTCCGGACTAGAACATGGATAGAAGAATCGGTCTTCAACAACCAATGCTTGTCGTGAGAGGCGACTAACGGGATCGGGTGGTCGGGCTTGCTGACTTGGTTGACACATGTCATCGTATCCCAATTGCGTAGATAGATGCTCATGCTGTTGATCACTGGATTGTCTTGTCCAGAATATTGCTGAGTGCGGCGTTAAACATCAAACAAACAAAACGAACATGAGTGCAATAACCTTGAACGCGATGTTCAACCCAAGCCACCCTCACCTCTGTGACCCCCAAACAAACCGATCACTTCGTTGAGATATACATTAAGTAAGAGAGTCCTATCTACCGCGTAGGCAATGCAATATGTCGTGATTATTTCGCAATATCATTCCATAAGCACAATGAATTCAATGTGTAAATATATTTTCCGCTGTGGGCGAAATCTAAATATGAGCACCGCAACAGTCTCGTATTCAATGAATACATAAATCATATTCTGCTTGTCGACGGAATATGTACACAGATGGCTAGATGTCAACACTGTAAGATTGTTCCCGAGAAACTCAATAACGTGAAATATACATGTATCGATATGCGCGTGCTGGACACAGCTGCTTGTCAACAAACGTGCC